ATGTCAGAGATCTGTAATGTGAGAGTGACGCTGCTGGAGAGGGAGGGCACTCCCTCATCAGAGCAGGTCACAGTGATGTTATAGTTAGAGGCTCTCTCTCTGTCTAAATCACTGTCTGTAACTAGGCTAAAGAACTTTTTAGATGTTGATTTGATCAGAAATGGCACATGTCCTTCGATATTACATGCTACTTTGCCATTTTCACCAGAGTCGGGATCTTGAACATTGAAAATTGTTACAACTGTTTCTGGCCTTGAATTTTCTGTTACGGAATTTGTTTTAGACATTATATTAATAGATGGGTGATTATCGTTTATGTCGGTTACTTCAACAAGAATTTTAGCTGAATCTGTTAGTCCCCCATCATCACTACCCTGTACATGTATTTCATAGAGCTGTGCCTTTTCATAATCAAGGTTTCCAGTTAAGGATACCTCACCACTTTCTTCGGCAATGTGAAACATTACAGGGACACCGTCTAACGTGTTTGTTATTGAATAAATAACCTTCCCATAAGAACCTTCATCTGCATCTGTAGCACTAACAGTACACAAAATTGCACCCTTTGCAGCATTCTCCATTATAGTGACCTTATAGACTTCCTGCGTAAATACTGGAGCATTGTCGTTGGCATCTAGCACGGAAATTTCTATTCGCACTGTTCCCGACAGCTGAGGCTCACCACCGTCAGCAGCTGTGAGAATTAAAGAGAGATGCTGTTGCGCCTCTCTGTCTAGATGTTTCTGCAGCACCATCTCCACCTTCTTACTCCCGTCTTGCTGATTTTGGAGTTTTAGATTAAAACTGTCAGTAGGTTGTAGCGAATAACTCTGCAATCCGTTCACACCTACGTCTGGATCCATTGCTCGCTCTAGCACAAATTTTGCTCCAGTCACAGCCGACTCACTAATCCTAAATTTTATTTCATCCTTTTTGAAGCTCGGAGCATTGTCGTTAATGTCGTTAATTTCGACAGTAACGGTATAGAATTCAATCGGGTCTTCGAGTGTAATTTGAAGATGTAAAGCACAAGGTGTCGTCTGCCCGCAGAGCGTCTCTCTGTCAATTCTTTCTCTAACAAGCAGGACGCCTCTGTCTTTATTCAGCTCGACGTATTTTCCATTGTCTTCTGTATATATACGCGCCTTACCCGATTTTAGTCTCTTTACATTTATACCTAAATCCTGCGCTATATTACCAACTACAGAGCCTTTTGACATTTCCTCAGGAATCGAGTAAGCGACCTGCCCGAAAACTGTGCCGAGGGAAGAGACCGACACAAACAACAGTACTTGCCATCTCATTGTTCTGCCCGACATTTTCTCTTCGTTAAAAGCTGGAGAAAAAAGCCTGCTGTACTCAAAAGCGCCGGGTTTTCCCGAACAGATAGTACTCCAGAGGAAAACTGATTCTGTCCGCGTTTCTTGAACTCGAAATAAATAAACCACAGCGCAGATATCTCCAGTGTTTATCAGCTACGCCTGTGTGCTGCATGTGCGTCTCTTTCTGTGTTTAACGTATCAAATGAAGGGAAATTCTCTACACTAGTCAACAGCGGCCCTGAGAGTCCAAACATGTGCACTGCAGAAAATTACAACATCTACTAGCAGGTCCAAAGTGAAAAAAATAAATAGGAGTTTAATTCATTACACAATAATAAAATATTTGTCTAGGGTACTTATAACTCAAATACAAAATAATACAGAGGACAACCTCCCCACCTGCCTTGACATCTTATTCTGAAGGGTATATTTTGATTATTGTACAATGTCAAGTCATCTTTAATGACACAATACACTTTCCCTTGTAATATGGCATGAGATTCTAAGGAACAGTAAAATAAGGCAAAGATCTAGTAACAATATATATCTGAAGTAAAGGGAACTTTATAAAAAAGATTACAAAAGTGATAGGGTGTATTTCTTTACCTGTTACACTTGCGCCTTTTAAAATCTTCCTTTATAGATAGTGATTTGTGATAAAGCTGTCAAACACAAAATTACTTTAACCATGAAGTAAGGCTCCAAAATGATAAATACAGATAATGGAAAAAATGTAGTGATTACAAAGGACAAAAAGGCCATTTTTTGCAAGTAATCATTCTACTTCAAGGGCTTTCCTGATCAATGAATGTGTATGCAGTTCCTGCTAAAACACACCAGGCTGGAGACAGCTTTAGAAGAAGCACAAGACATAAACTGCTAATTATTTGATGAAGTTAATCTTCTCCTTTAGTAAACAATAAGAATAAGTAGTAATTTTCAAAACTGCATTGCACAGATCTCAGATGAAAGTAATTATTTGCTTAACACAACTTGAAAAGTATAAGTTTTCTGGAAGAAAAATTAAAACCAAGTGGGAGAATAGGTGATGATTAGCTTGTAATAAATAGTTTAAGTCTAAAAAGTATCAAAGGGAAGACCACCAGTAGACATTTTGTTGCTTCTGGTATTCCAAGCTGCCTGCTTTAATTTTTTGATCATAGTGTTTTAAGTTTTGTTTCAATAGTTAACTAAAGCTTGTTGTTAAAAAGTTACTTTCAGAGCTGAAAGTTGCACTCTACTGCAATGTAAAAAGTGCTGGTAGACATTTCAGTGAAACACAATCTGCAATTACAATGTTCCAAATACTTAAAAGGTTAACATATTATTGAATAATTGTCAATAATTAATCCTGCTTTCTTGAAAAAAAGTGCTGGAACAGGATGCTGATTATGGAGACTCTTTTCATATACTTAAACTAAAACTAAATTAGGGCTAAGATGACTTTGTTAGGTTTAGATAAAAGAGGGGGAACACATATAGATTATGGGATGAAAGGCTGATTCTGCTAAAGTGCAGAACTGGTTTAATGAACAGTGAATTGTCATGGAAGAAATAAAATGTGCATTGCTAGCTCTCTGATAACCTCCAGAATACCATGCATGCAAAAATAACAGGCATTTAAAATCATTTGTAATTTCATGAGGCTAACCTCAAGAGGAGAGTCTGGTTCATCCAGGATGCTCTTTTCACTCTGTATCCGCTGCATCGTTCCTGTAGAACTGGGGTCCATTATCAGCACGTTCTGACT